ACAACAATAATTTTAATGTCATCTTTATTTATAAACATCAAACTATTAAGAGTACTTGACAAATAAATTATGTAATTTAATGTTCACAATATCATAATGTTTGGCCACTTTAGTAACTAACAACATTAATCGAACACTAATTACATAAATAAAACGTGAAAGGTAAGTGATTAAAATCCAATTTAATCCATAATTCAAAGTCTAAAGGCAGTGTCATAATTAATTATTCATGTATCACCGTCTTTATCAATTTAGAAATATATAATGACTGGATTTATGAAACATAATGTTGTTTATCATAATTGGGCACTAAAATTATATTCTGCACTAATTACAATACAGAAAATATCAAACTACGATTAAATAGTAAACGTCAAATAGGTTTGGAGTAAATGGTCCACAGGACTAACAAATTCCAATTCTGTAGTCTGAAGCTAAAGAGGTGGTCATGTCCCCACAACATCAACTGAAAACTGAAAACTCCTCCACTAAGAAATAAACCCAAATTATACACAGAATAGGCGGCTTGACTAAACTTGTGTTGCAGAAACCAAGAGAATGACATTTTCTCAAAACAATCATAATTCAACATATGGCAGAGATATACAGTATATGGTTGGTTTCGACGTTCTGGTTGCAGTGCAAATAATAACCTATAAAGGAAAATAAAAAATCATCAACTTTGCTCTAATACCACATGTAAACAATTATATAACCATAATATCAAGATCTTTGGAATTCATGATTTTCACAGAGATTAATTGATCAAGAAACATATTTTGATCAATAGCAATAATTAAAAGATTTAAACCTAAAAAATAGAAACTAGTAAAATCTCGAAACCATTCTCTCTCTTTTTCCTCTCTATAATTGATTAATTTTACCTCGCGTTTATAGGCAGAGAGAGAGGCAGTTTCTTGGGCCATAAAAGAAAGCTACCAGCTTTCCATCAAAGTGAACACTTATTAAACTGTCATTTCTCAAGGAACCAATAGAATTTTATCAATAATTAACCACAATTAATTAATTTATTAACAATATTACTTGGACCAAATTAATTGGTTTTACACATGATACTTTCTTCATTCCATACATTTATTTTTCAAGATTATTTAAGGTCCATGAAAGCAAGATGTATGCGTAAATGCTCTATGTAGGATATAAAAACTAGTCTAATTAGGACGATTCAGATATTTTAGTTATTTACATTAATAAACAATATATAATTTGACCAAACCGTTTAATTTCATGTGACTTCATGAAAGAAGTTGGTTATTTCTCGACTACCCGGATTCTTCTTGAATAATCATGGATTATTCATGAACGATTATTATCTTTATCACTTTGGGGAGTTCTTTTTCCTCTTTTCCAGTTCCTCTTCACACTTTTCATGATCAAATGCTGAAGTATAGGACGTTTCACGGGTATATTGAAGTAACCCCACATTACAAACTACCATGTTTTCTCCACATTGTATGGTCTAAATCATAGACCACGGAAATACATTCATTTTCTAGCCAAGAGAACGAGTGACGAGGGCTTTCCCCATCATACTAATTTTCTCTGTATTATTTCAGTTTTATCAAGATCCCGTACGTAACAATTCATTTAAAGCCAACTAGAAATTAGTTGCAGTTAGATTTGCTCGACTTGGCTCAACTAGAAATTTAAAGCCAATTTCAGCAAACAACTAAAGAAAGTATACAAAACAAGATAAACCCAACTCGATCTACATCATAACAGTAATCCAAATTATTAATTGCAGTAAAAGAGGGCTAAACGTGTCGACTTGATTATCGCTGTGTTACTATTTATGATGAATTAAGGACACATTATCCCAACAACCAACATGTAAGCGTGTACACGTTTAAAATAAAATCGAGTCGGCAAAACACATGTCTGTAACACAAATTATGAATCCGGAGATAATTGTTGAACACTGTGTTGCGCGTTCTTTTTCATATAAAATAAAATAAACAAAAACTTATTGAGAGTATCATATTTTATCTGCTCCTGCATCTTTGATTAAACTATATTAATACCAATTTCCAGGACATTTCACGAGTCTACGTGTGTGTACATGGGGCACATGATTATGACATGAACCCTCCAAAATTAATCCTTAACACGAATATCATTTGCACGAAAATTCCTGAAACCCATGTTTGGTACACATTCTTTCAAAACTAATTTTCAACCACACATTTTTCAATAAAATAATATTTTTCATCACATCAATAACTTGTCCTTACTCTTTAACCACATATTTTATATCTTATCACTATTTAAAATACATTTTTTCTTCAATAATATCCATCAAAGATACGGTCTTATCTACAAACACTAACCCCACAAGAAAATAAAACGGGAAGGAAAGATTAAAGTTTGTGCATGTTGGCTATCTAAACATCAATTTTCAAGCAATGACAAGAAATCAATAAAAAGAAGGTCGGCAGGTGTCAAGAACAGTACATAAAACTGCTGATCACAAAAGAGCCAATTCATACCCGCGGAAAGAGGGCGGTTGGATTTATGGCAGCAATCAATTTCACATATATGGTTCTGATTGCATACCATAAACAAAGTGTGTCAAAATTTGAGTTGTTAAGAAGGGCTCTTCCTAATGTCATTCATTTCCTAGAAACGACGCATCTATTGGTCCACTTGAGCATCCATAAAAATTGTTGGTCCAGTTCTAGATTTTGAAATGAACACGCCAATTTAATTTTCACTCAAATCTGTACTTTAAATGTCTGTACATATAATCTATATCCTACATTTATTGATGATGATGGAGCTCCCACCATTTCCATCAACACCAGCACCATCCCATCTGGAGTTTTCTTTGCCTCTCCGCCTCTCCCTCTTTCAAAATTTCATCCCTGCGACTGCATTACAAAAAGACTCATGTCTGCGGTCTGCTATTCGGGTTCCAAACTTCCATTCTATGCCAGTATTGCCTTGTTTATAATTGTTCAGAGTACAAAAATTTATTTGCTTTTCAACTTTTCTCTCTTCTTGACTTGTGCTCTTGCTAACGTATCAGTTGCATAATCTTTCAATCTACATTCAGGGCATATGGAGAAAAAGTAAATTTCTATAAAGGGAAAGTTGAGTCCGAAAGGAGTCTCATGACATCTCCCAACGACTTTGCTATATATAAACTGCCATCATATACTTACACACACACCAAGCTTAACAGTCTATTCTAGCCTTAGCGATTCATTCAATCCCAAAATGTCGTTTTCATATTCAAAGAACTTCCTAAGACGGTTCTGCGTGGAGGAAATCCAAATGAATACACAAACCTATAGTGGCTTCTTCTCTAATGATCTCCTCCCATCCCTTGGAGCCAGAATCAACCAGGAAACAAAACTTCGTAGACACATAGTTTCTCCATTCAGTCCCCGCTATAGGTGATGAGTTTGCTTCAAATCTCAAAGCTAGTGTGTAATAAGATAGCCACTGATCTCATTTCTATTGTTCATTTCAGGGCTTGGGAGATGTTTCTAGTTCTCTTAGTCATTTATTCGGCCTGGATTTCTCCATTTGAGTTTGCATTTCTGACTTACAAGCAGGATGCTTTGTTAATTTTTGACAACATTGTCAACAGCTTCTTTGCCATGGATATTCTTCTCACCTTCTTCGTGGCATATCTTGATAGACAAACTTATCTTTTAGTTGATGATCCAAGAAAAATAGCCATAAGGTAAACATGCAGCAGTCTATACCTGTGTAGAGTCAGGAAATCCTTTACTAATTACTATAATCTAGAAGTAATTATTTTACCTGTGTTATATCTGGCTAACAGGTATCTATCCACCTGGTTCATCTTTGATATCTGCTCAACAGTACCATTTCGAGCTATTAGCCTCCTTTTCAAAAAACACAATGGTGGACTAGGCTTTAAATTGCTCAGTATGCTACGACTTTGGCGTCTCAGACGAGTGAGCTCCCTGTTCGCAAGGTCAACCACCACATTGAACTCTTTTGTTTCTTTCAAATTTTTTGAACACCTGCCGAACAAAATAAATTCTCACTTAAGCCAGTTTGATTTCCTTCAGACTTGAAAAGGATATCCGGTTTAATTATTTCTGGACTCGCTGCACAAAACTCATCTCTGTAAGACGTTTCTTGTTTCACATTTTCGGTAGTAATTATTCTATCTACTTGCATGTGTTTGCCACTAAGATTATAAATTTGCTACTTCTATTTGAATCAGGTAACTTTGTTCACTGTTCATTGTGCTGGGTGCTTTAACTACATTATTGCAGACAGATACCCAGATCCAAAAAGTACATGGATTGGTGCCTTGTATCCTAATTTCAAAAAAATTAGCCTCTGGGACAGATACGTAACTGCAACTTATTGGTCTATAGTGACACTAACCACAACAGGTTATGGGGACTTGCACGCTGAGAACCCAAGAGAGATGCTGTTTGATATATTTTACATGCTGTTTAACTTGGGATTGACAGCTTACCTCATAGGGAACATGACAAATCTTGTAGTTCACTGGACCAGCCGCACCAGAAACTTTGTATGTTTCTCTCTTGCTCTCTCTCCCACAGACACATGCAACCAGGCATGCAAACACAGAATTACTTTATATGTCAAAATTTTTTGAGGAAAATCTGACATATGTAGGCAATGTTGCAATCACATTTAACACTCATCCTGAAAACAAGCCAACATGAAATTATATCCTAGACGTTATCACACAATTACATATCAGTTCAAGAAACAAAAGCAGTTAACTAACTCCATGAAAGTAGCTGGAAAGATACAATCATAAACATGTACAACTTCTCATTGGTGAATTCAATGAGTTATAAGCCATGTTACACCTAACTTGTGTTGGTTGAAATGAGCATTTCATGAAGAAATTCTTTAACCGAAAAAAAACCACCCCCTCCAACCAACACACACTCAGCTGCACAAGTAATATAGCGAAATTTCACTGTTCCTGAGAAACTAGGTTTTGGTGCTGCAGAGAGAGACGGTAATAGCAGCTTCAGAATTTACAAAGCGAAACCAGCTGCCCCCATATATGCAAGACAAAATTTTGTCTCACATATGTCTAAAGTTCAAAACCGAAGGATTGAAACAGCAAGAGACCTTGAATGGCCTGCCGAAAGCCATTCGTTCCAGCATTGCTCACTATCTATTTTACCCTATTGTCCAAACTGTCCCTCTTTTCCAGGGAGTGTCACAAGGGTTCCTTTTCCAAATGGTATCATTTTTCCTCTCCCCTTCCCCATTTTTCCTTTCGCTTGCCGAGGATTTGTTTTTCTTCTATGGAGAACCAATAGAAAAGATGAGCAAGTAAATTGATTAAATTTTCCTGGTTTTTGTGAAACAGGTACCAGAGTTGGAAGCTGAGTACTACCCTCCCAAAGAGGATGTGATTCTACAAAATGAGGCTCCAACATTTACTTACATACTGGTTTCGGGAACTGTTGTAAGTATGCTATTAAATATTTTAGAAAGTGTTAACTTAAAAATACTAGTGTCTCCATTTCTATCAAACTAATTTATTTTTTTTTGGTTGGTGGTAGGACATGATAGAAAACATTGATGGGCATGATCAAGTAAGAAATCTCTACTCAGTAGCTTCATCATGAATAAAATCAAGGACAGTGTAGAGTTAGACCTCATACACCCTCATACATACAGGTCCTGGGAAAGGCAGGTTCAGGAGAAATATTTGGAGAAATAGGGGTTTTATGTGGAAAACCTCAGCCATTTGGTGTTCGAACAACTGATGTTTCTCAAATACTACGGCTGAACAGGACTACGTTACTGAACATTCTTCAAACAAACCCAGAAGATGAAAGTATTATAATGAATAATCTGTTCATGGTAAGTTTAATGAGAAGCATTAGATTAATCCTACTTTCTGTTATGCATACACTAATAGCTGCATAATGTTTCACTTGCAGAAACTGAAAGCACGTACAAGCATTGATATAGAGGACCAACAGGATCCAAGATTGATCCTAAATAATTCGCATAATAGAGCAGAAGGAGACTGCTATGTCCATGCTGGAGATCAAGATAACCCATGTGGAGATAGAATGAAACAGGGATTGAGAGTAGAGATACCTAAGTTAGATTTTCTAGTGAGTAAACAACCAACAAATGCTTATGATGCCTATAAAAGTCAAATAGGCATAAATTCATCAGCTGAGGATGGTGAAACAGCTCTTCATGTTGCTGTTCGCCAGGGGCATCTCGAAATGGTTAGAATTTTGCTGGAAAGAGGAGCAAATGCAAATAAACCAGATATGAGAGGGTGGACACCAAAAGCATTAGCCGAAGTATGTGATAAAAAAGGAATATACGACCTTATATTGAGTTACGAATATAAGAAGAAAGTAGACGATCAAAGAGGCAAGTTTCTAGGGCCAGAAATGGCTGAAAAGGCTAGTAGTCATATCGAGCCGACGGAAAATGAGGCTGCTGATTATTTGAAAAATAGTCGTATGAATCTTATGCACGTCAGTTCTAGCTGTTGTAGTCATCACAGTAGTATAGAAGCAATACAACCATCCACGAAGAGAGTCACCATTCACATGAAGTTTCCAGAGAAAGATATTTCACAAAAGCAGCGCGGAAAGCTAATTATGCTACCTGAATCGCTGGACGAGCTATTCAAAACAGCAGGTACGCGTTTTTCAATCTCTATAGAGCTTGAAATTGCACATTATAAAGTTGATTAAACTTGATGAAATAGGCAATTCAATAAGTCAAGAAGAAAGAAAAAAAATGCTCTCCATGGTTCTATCTGATCCTCATCCCTTTCCTTGTGAAACTGCAGGTCAAAAATTCGGTGAAAAGAATCTTACAAAAGTTGTAAATGCAGAGAATGCAGAAATAGATGACTTAAGTGTCATACGAGATGGTGACCATTTGTTTGTTCTGACAAACCAGTGTGAAGGCAGAGAGTGTGATGCGAGTTAATAATTAAAAGGCTATAATGTAAGCGTGCAAGTAGCTTGGCATTTCAAAGCAATTTTATATTTGATATATTCAGAGAGAACTTGAGTCACACACATCAATTAAGGATTGCTAAAGTCAATAATCATATAAAAATCTGGTGAAGTCAATTACGTGGTTGCCAGGCATTCCAATCAGGCCCTGCATTTAGCTTCTCGGATCGGGGCTATGGAGTGATCTTCCATTTTATCAGGTGATAACCAAGAAGGTAGCCGGGACAGCCTTCTCCAAAACCTTCCAAATCTACAGCTTCCATCTATATTAGCTTTTTGCCTTGAATCCAACATTTTTAGCTATACAGTCAGTTGAATAATGAATGAGATGCGATAAAAACAAATAGAACAAGATATCTTCATTTACTACATTTTACACATTCACGATTTACTAGGGAGAAATTCGTATTCAACAACTCTGTCACTATTAATTTTTACAAGACAATTCGATAAAGTTCGTAACATACATGCACTTCCAACTCTAGCACATGTTTCAGCCCCATTATCTAGGAATTCTATTTTTCTCAACACACACATTCTTTCTATAAAATAATTTTGCACATAAACCCAAATTTTTTCCATACCTTTTAACCACAATTTCTCAAAAAATTAAAAAAATAACTATTACAAAACTCATTTTTCACAAAAAAAAATGGGGCTAATATGAAGTTTTCCAATTCGTTTCACAAATTAAGACCGCAATTCCGAATAAAGTACAATCTAAAAATTCCTTCAGGAATTCACCGAGTCAGCCTATCATAAGCTTAAAGCTTAAAATTCAAATAATTGATAAATATGAAATCAAAAGGAGAATAAAAATGCAGTTCTGCGATCTTAAATTTAAATAAGTACCTAATAAATAATAGCTAGTAAGCGCTGTCGCAATGTAAATTTTCACTGAAGGCAGCGATTTCGAAATGCACCCTCTCCCTTACTATTTTGTGTGCTCCCCCGCGACTGCAAGCGTCTGTGTTCGATTTAGGCGGGAAAGTAACAAGGTTTTGGTTCCATTTATACTGTGCGCTCCCCGGGTTTCATAAGCTCGGTTTGGCAAGGAATTACACCCGGTCCGTACTGGGACGTGGGCCTTTCTTTAGTTCGGGTTGGAGGCCCAACTTCTGATTAGTGTGACAGCTGGATCCTCAACCTATCAAATGTGTAACCCAGATACCTATCGTTTCAAAACAGTGCAAACATAGTCCTTAATAGAATGGATAACAGTTTCCCTCCAGTAGGGATCACTCTTGCCCAGTTTTGAAAGATTAACCACTCAAATACTCTATTTGGTGGGTTGGGAACTCAAATTTCACATATCAAAGGTTGAGGACTCCAAGAAGAATTACCCTTTTTGACGATTGAACATAAAATGTTAAAAAAACCTCGACGATTGAAAATTGAACTCTCCTTCAAGATTCATGTATTTATGAAATATAAACCTATTAAGCTTCTATTTGAGCTCCATTTTTTTTTGTAAAAAATGAGTGTTATAATACATATTTATTTTTTTAAGAATACGTGGTTAAAGAGTCGTTAAAAATTTTTGTGTTTGTGTGAAATTATTTTATTTAAAAAATGTGCGATTGAAAATGAATTTGAGCGCAAAATAGCTCTTAGATAATGGTTGTTAAACAAGGGCTAAAGTCTATCAACGCATGGTAAAGGCACAATTTACTTCCATGCTTAAAATTACATGTAAATTTTAGCTTCTATTTGAGTTCATTTTTCATCAAATTCATTTATAACTGCACATTCTCACTACTTTTAAACGACACATTTTTCAAAAAATCAATATTTTAAAACTCTTTTCACAAAAAAAAAAAAAAAACAACTAAATAATAGTTGTCAAATAAGGGCATAAGAAGTTCTATGTCCACACGCATTATTTTGAGGCAAGATTGAAAATTGTTACTTATCCTCATCAGTCGGGGCGGAGCCAGACTTTGAACGTAAGGGGGGCCTAGAGGTAGAGGTGAAGTGGTGGGGGCCCACGGGGGTTCGGGGGCAGCGCCCTAAAAAATTTTTTTTGATACATTGTCAACAAAAAAATCAAGAGACGTATAAAAGAAAGTACTAATCTTTAATTTAGCAAAATTATACTTTGATAATGTTATATAACTACATTATAATCGGGCGAAACTCGGGCAAAAAGTTACTGCATTGGTCGCTCGAGTGAGTCTCTAGCGAGGGTTGAGCAGTCGTCAATATTTTTATCATAACTTTCTTTACCGCTATTCGATTGTGATGATTCAAATTCCGTTGGAAAGCTAACTCGAAGGGCTACAATTTTTCTAGAAATAGCCATATCCAGATTCCAATGTTTTCGATGTGAAAAATGAGTTGAAAGTGGTAATTACAAAAAAAATTTGGTCAAAAATGGGAGGGGGGGCCAGGCACCCCCATTGGCTCCGCCCCTGCTCATCAGAGATGATCATCCTTCTATATGGCAGATGACGTTGGATGAAATGATAAAAACAATAAAATGTGTAAACCCTTGTCTGGTAACTATTATTTAGGAAAAACAAAGTTTTGAATAGCGATTTTTAGGAAAATGTGTGACTAAAAAGTAAGAAAAATTTTGGATTTACGTATAAAATATTTTATTGTGTGAATGTGTGGTTGAAAATGAATATATAGAAAAATGAGTTTTCAAATAATGATTGTCAAATGGGGCTAAATGTAATATTCATTTTATAATGTCACATGGTGATGTAATGAAGATAAACAAAGCTTAGATGCTGATTGTTATCAACTATCAAGCAAACTCCAGCCATGGGCTGCCCCCACCTATTTTAATTTACACCTTCTAATCTTAGATTTTGACATTACAAATGAGAAGTGAAGAATGTAACATTTGATTGCAACAAATTAACAATAATCAAATGTTTTACAAATGATTCAGACAGAATGCTAATCATTTTGTTTATCTCGATTTGGACCATACTATAAGTACATAATACATTACATAATTGACATGTGGCGCGCATCCATCGATAGTCTACAATTTTTGACATTTCCACACTTCACATCCACGTTTGTATTTCTTCCACATGGGCCTATGTAATCCATTATGGACAATAATTATGTACATATAGATTTATCCTCTTGATTTTATTCTCTCTTTTTTCCAAGTAATTTGCCGCAGCATCTATAATGCTGACTAGCGATTTGATCAACTGAAGCATCAGCAGCAAATTCTTCCTCGCACTAGAATGTAAAGATATGGACGTCCATCTTCAACCACCTCAATTTCCTTCACCCATTTCTCGTCATTGACTGTAGTATATTTCTCTTTGCGAGAAGACAACCACGCATCTATTATTCGAGTAACAAGTTAGTAACAGTTAGTCTTCAAATATGAAAATTGTCTAAACCCTAAACCTATTAAATCGAGTTTCGTAAAATTTAAGTCAAAATCAACAATTATTTTTACAGACACATTTTATGAGATTCATAACTTTTATCAACTTTTTAAAAGAGAAATTTTTTATATTTTTAATCTTATATAAATTTACTTAAATAGGCATATAAAATTAAGTAAAAATATATCTCTCTAAATTCATTTACTAATCTTTATTTTCATTAAATTCTTTAGAATCTCTTTTATATTCTTTTAGAATTTATGTTTAACCTTAAAACACAAAACTAATCCAGGCCAAAACCCTTTTCATAAAGGAATCCAAAAGCATTAAGAGAAATTGCTTACGCTTAATTATGATGAATGTGTAGTTGATTGATTTTAAATTAATGTTGGACAAAATTATTACAGCTTTCACTCACCAATGTGCATGTTTCAATATGAAAGAAAGATGGAAAGTGGGGTTGACAGAACAATGTTTTGAAGATTCATATTTACAATGTTGCAAATGCAACCCGATCTTGGCTATATAACATTTTTTTTTCCTTTTTCGTGCTACGTAATTATTGTTTTCCTCGTGATGTTATAGGTTATCTTAATTTGAATTTGAAAAATTAGTCGTCGATCTCTTCTTCGAGAATAATAATAAGCATAAAGAAAATCAAGAACAAGTAAAGGAAATACAAAAATAGTGTTTTTTTAAAAAAAAATTGTAATAGGGATAGATTTAAAGTGGGATAAATATATAAAAGTAATGTGAATGTATAGTGTTTAAATGATAAGGAGAATATTGGAATGTGATGTGGATGAAAATAATATTTTTATAATAGGAATAGGTATAGAGTAGGACATATATATAACATTGATGGATATATATAGCGGCTCCCAACAATTTTTTTAATTAAAATCTAGCTAAAATTTTTATGGGGAAAAAAAAAAAAAACTTTTGTCTCAGTGTCCCAACAATTTGATTCTATAGTAAAATTTCCAAATAAAATTAGGGTGGTTATATTGCCACCAAATTTTTTATTTACCCCACATTTTAATTGAAGTTAATCTCCTCAATCTTTGCTCATTGTAGCACTTATTTTTTTGGAACTTTTTCAGTCGAATTCTTATCTTCAACCTTCCATTAATTTGTACATCTTGTCCTTAATGATGATTTATATCAAAGTATTTTATTTTCATGCTTTGAAATGAGGGAAAAAAAGTTTTGCACTTTTTATTTATTTTTTAAAAAAAAAATATATGATGAAAAATAAGTTGTGTATGCCATTTCAACAGATTTTTTGGCATAAAATTTTAATCAAATACAAATGTGTTAATTAATGAAAATTTTGAAGATAAAAATTACATGAAAAATGGTCAGGGACATAAATATTTTAATGAGTAAAGATTAAGAATCTTAAATATAATTAATATGTGATGCAAACTGGCTATTTAAAAAGAGAAAAGGTTGACTAGAAGAGAATAAAATTGGAAAAATCTTCGGATCTGGGCGGGTATATAAATGCTCCGCAGAATGTTGACACTGGCACGACGCCGGGGAACTGGCAAATTTCCATACACAAATATACATATATATTATCAAGAACCGTACTTGGAATGCCCTATTTCCAAAATTTGATTCATTCTTTAAAGTGTAAATTACTCTCTCTTTGCCTTTCTCTCTCTCACTGTACTCCGTCTTGGAATTTACAGCCTCCAAAATCACACACAAATTAACAAGCAAAACCCGAAAATTTGTATATTATCCATATATACACACCATAATCTGCAGTCCTAAAAATCTCATGGGTAACCACAAGACCTTAAAGGTTTGCATCTGTCTCTTTCTTATACTCGCCTTGATGGTTTCATTCACATATCCATCGCGATTGCAAGAAAGTGGGACCCAACTCACAGCTGCTCCACTGGTAACGCTGCCAGCAAAGTACCAAAAACTCTACGCCAAGAACTCTACTCCATTCTTCTTGAATAAAGAGGGGCGTCAGAACAAGGAGGAGAAGGGTTTGAACAGGAAGAAAATGAAGAGAAAGAAGATCAAGAATATCAATGCGAAGCCTTTCTTGGTTATGCTTCCCAAGGGTTTTGTCCCTCCTTCAGGCTCATCACCATGCCAGAATCTGTACCCGAATTCAATCACTTTCTTTTGTGCTCTTTCTACTGAAAAAGGGCCTTGAAGAATAGTGCACAAGAGAAAGAAAATCAAAGGAGATGATTTTTTACGCCATCTGGGATTCTGGATATATACCCGTGATAAAGGTCACGAGAGTACAAATAACACACACATGAGTAATTGTTTCTCTTAAATATCAGTTTCAATAATACATATACACGAATCCAGATGTATAAATATAAATCTGCTTTCTGCAATAGTATTTTCATTTCTTTTATCAAATTTCCAGTTAATAATAAACCGCTCTTCAGATGCACATTCTTATCTTAAAACTGTAATGTCTGTTGTTTTGACTTTTGAATCTGAGGGTGTTTACTGTTTATTTATTGAGTTGAGGTCAAATAAAAATCCAGCAGTATCCCAAACGGGGGACAAAATTAAAGCCAGGAATTAAGTAAGAAGCATATGGAATTTCCATAATTTGAGGGAATTGCTTGATGTGTAATCCCTAGTTTCTTACCGTTTACTCCATGCATGAATGAAATGCTGCTCTCTTCACGATGTTCTTACACAAATCTATACCCGGGATTAATATTTTCTAAAGCAAAAAATGGGAGATTAATATAATTACTCCGTACAGCTTAAGAATGTGCTAATGCAAAAGTGTATAACTCAAGATTGCAGCTGTACGTGTTTTAATATCCCCGTGAATGGAGGGTTGTTTGTAGAAGAGATCAAGAAGCTTTTCTTTTATTTGGAAACCTAATTAGGACACTGAATGATAGTACTACTTCCGTTATATTTGTAAATTTCATGAGTTTGGATGCAGAAGTCGTTCGATTTTCATTGGACTTCCATTTTTATACGATTTTTAGGAGCTGGTATGATTTTTCGAGTTAGCCTCACACGACCAGCACAAGTCCGACCAATGTGGGAGAATTGTATTCTACACAACTCGTATACATGAGTCTGGGTTGGGCCCACCACTTTCTAGGTAGACCAACTAAAGTTTACACCTTAGGTTAGCTATTTTAATCATACGACTATACGAGAATGAATGGCATTGACACGTAACCAACAAATCCTCACTTTATTTATGTTCACACATAAATCTCATGTACACTTGGACAAACCGTAAAAGAACTCGACCTTCTCCGATTGAGTGGCGGTTAAGAGCATTTCGACGGTCAAGTCAGTCAACTTATATATTTGGATATGTGATGAACGAAAGAGGTAAAGCACAAGAATGTTTACGAGCACGAAGTAGTAGAGAACAACAATAAGAGTGGGCTATAATGCTATTGAGAGTGTCAAAATTACATTTCCTTAAAATAGCATTAAGTGTGAGCTTTTTATAGTAAAAAATTGATGATTTCGTTACCTTTGGATGGAATACACGTGGCCCCATCTTAATAGTCGAGACGTGTTCTCCTATGTGTCAATTCCGTGATCCTAAATTTTTGAGGGCATTTTCTGAAAAGTGGTCACTCACTCACTCCATAGCCTAGGTCTATTTCAAAAGTAGACTGCTAAGTTGATTGAGAGACGTCTATTGTAGAAATATCACATCAATCAATTACAAAAGATCTCTTGGAAGAGGCAAAGTGGAAGGATGCCTTGCAGGTTTAGAGGCTCGCTTAGAAATTGAACTGCAACAGGTCATGGCACCTCACCTCGACCATGAAGGGGTTGGTCTCTACATTGCACCTTGACTGAGGTGATATCATTTCGACTACCTATATTTGATGGTCTGTGTTAGGTAGCCACATATAAGATAGTAATATGGAGTGTGATACGAATTGTTTGTTAATTGGTTGCCATGTGGGCAGTTTTTGAAGTCACGTCACATGAGGCATAACAAACAGTTTCACTTAATACGTCTCAAAGAAATTTGAAATTTTCGAGGTGGTCTAAAATAGTAGTGTCAAATCGGGCAATATTATATCAAACTGGTAGCAAAGAGGTTCTCAAGGACAGAGCTTTGAGCCTATTGTGCCAGGCCAGTTCATGCAGCAGCATGACCCACCACATTTCTTTGCAAATAGTCTCAACTTGTTGCAAAGTTGAACAAACTCACAGTCGAATGTGTTATTAGTTAAAAAATTTCATTCATATCTTTCTTTTTAGGTCATTTGGGTTGGTCAACAGTGGGCAACAGTGACATGCTAAGCAGCAATTGAGCTAGTCCCCAACCTTGTATAGCTCAAGTCGGTGCAATGTTAGGCACTTTCACGATTTTGTGGGATAGTCTGGTGACTCTGATCAACTTTGATACCATTATGTCCCTTGCCATTTCCATATACCTTCCTTGTCTGAACTAGATTGCTCCCATCCCTTTCCAATCTCTCCAAGTCGCCTCGTCCCTCTTTTCGATCTCTTTGTTTAATTTCAACTTTGTTCTACCTCTCTCAAGGTAGAACCTTCATTCAGGTGATACCATTATTAGTTCTTTTAAAAAAATATATGGAAATTTTCCAACTTTGTCTCTATATTTGGGGTCACCTTCATCATAAGAAGTAAGAACTCACCGACTATACATTTGATGTCAATTGTGAATAAAGGCAACCTTGTCCAAGCCCTCTTTCAAATCTTCACATGCGACGTCAACTTTTTTCACTTTTATTGAAAATACAGTTAGCATCGTCTTTTACTTGCTATCATTTGGCAAATGAAAATATTTAAAAAGTGTGGTGGAACAAAAATTACATCGTGACGACAATATTTTCCATATATGAATTATGAATAAAGGTATACTTGATCATTACAAGGAATGTTGGGCTTTTTTGTTAGACTATCTTGGGTGATGATGGGTCCTAACCGATTAAAGTGAATTTCGAGGTATTTGGCCCAATCGAAGATGATAAATGGGCCAGTATTCTCTCACTCAAGGTGTCATTGGCTTGGCCCAAGTGAAGTTGTCATTTTGAGGTTTAAAAACACTTTTATTTGGCCTTTGCAAAAGAGCAGGATTTTAACAAGCTCGTCTAGGAGTCGTCTGGGCTCGAAACTTGGACAAAACGCCTCACTTTGCTCCTACACTTTTTTTTTTTTCAATTTCTAAATGATTGAATTTTTTCTCTTCCCTAGGCGCACTTTATTAATTTTTTTAAAATTTTTTCCGTTTTAAAAAGTATTTTATTTGATTTTAGCTTATTAATTTTTTTATTTTTAAAAAAGCTTTTCATTTGACTTAAATTTCAAGTTTTTAAAAGATTTTATTTAAATAGTTAAAAATAATTTTATCTAAATATGTATAAAGTTCCTATAAATCTATTAAATAGGATTTGTCTAATTGAAAATTGTATAACTGACTAATGGTAGAAATTATTAAGTAGATATTGTATTTATAATTTTAGATGTTTAATATATATTATTTTAATTATTAAATGATTTAAAAATTAAAAATAATATTAAAAATGAGAAAACGTTTTTTTACGTCTAAATGAAGTTTGAAATTTCACATTTACGCCTTTTATAACCCTGCAAAAAATAGAATTTTTTTTTTGATTAATTGCTAAACTCGTGTTCAAGATGCGAATTTTTTGATAAAAGATCTCTAATGAGACTTGAATTGAAATTGGGGAAGATTATACGGAGTAAAAAGAGGGACAGGTGCCCGCGCTTTTGGACTTCGCCAGCACGACTCAAAATGTCGTTGAGAACAAAACTCAAACACCTTACACTCATTCAACGCGCCACCAGCCGCTACCTGTCTCACCTCTCTCACCACAACAATCACCATCCTCCGCCGCCGCTTCCGCCAGCACCTCAGTTAGAAGACCCACACAACCAACTCAAAGAAGATCCATTTGGAATTCTTTCAGACCTCTGGGTCAAGACCTTCACCCAATCTTACAAGCCATTCAACAACCTCTCTGGCTTTCTATCCAAATTCGATCTCTGGGTCCTTGCCTATCAGCGCACCTGCGCCAATGTCACCGGAACTTTCCCTCATAAAAACTCCATCTATATCAATACACTTTCCGACCTTCTATCCCTAAAAAACGCAGTCGTTCGTAACCACTTTCAATGGAATTCCAAAACTCAGCAGTTCATTCGCAGCCCTAATGATAAGCCCATTAATTTGCTCTCCAAACGCAAGCTCAACTCCGTTTTGGCATCCAAGACGCCGCCTTTTCAGGACCTGGTGGTTCAGGAAGTTTTGTTGATGATTCTGGAGCCAGTTTTTGAGCCGCAGTTTTCTTCGAAATCTCACGCCTTCCGTCCAGGTAGGAATCCTCATACTGTCATTAGAACCATCAGGAGCAACTTTGCTGGGTACTTGTGGTTTATAAAAGGTGATATAAGTGAGATTCTTGATAATGTTGACGTTAATGTGGTAATGGGTTGTGTCGAAAAAGCGGTGAAAGACAAAAAAGTTTTGAATCTGATTAAATCAGGGTTGAAAGGTCCACCACGAAATTTTACATGCGGGGAAGATATTGGCGAGAAAGTAAGTAAGAGGAAAAGAAAGAAGGGTCAGACGAGGAAGAGGTTATTGAATGAGAATGAGCCGAAGCCAGACCCATATTGGTTGAGGACATTCTTTGATTTTGCCCCGGAGGAGGCTGCAAAGATACCTAATTACGGTTACTGTGGAATTCTTAGTCCTTTACTGGTTAATGTTTGTCTTAATGAGCTTGATCATATGATAGAAGATCGATTGATCAAATTCTTTAAGCCTTGTGAATCAGATTCTATATGGAAGTATTCGATGAAGGATAGTTGTCATAACCCTTCTTGGCCGGAGTTTGTGCCTACTAGTGGGAAGGAAAAGACTAGGAAAATGGATTATATCAGGTTTGGAGGTCATTTCCTGATTGGTATTAGGGGACCAAGAGAGGATGCGGTGGGAATTAGAAAAGAAATAATTGAGTTCTGTGAGAGTAAATTCGGGATTAGGTTGGACAATTCTAAGGTTGAAATTGAGCATATCACTAGGGGGATTCAGTTTTTGGATCATATCATTTGTCGGCGGGTTGTACACCCCACTCTTCGGTACACTTCAAGTGAAGGTAAGATTGTGAGTGAAAAAGGCGTTGGGACTTTGCTTTCGGTCACTGCTAGCTTGCAACAGTGTATTCGCCAGTTTAGGCGGCTTGCATTTGTGAAGGGTGATAGGGATCCAGAGCCACTGCCTTGCACTCCCATGCTGTATTCGGGTCAAGCTCATACTAATGCTCAGATGAATAAGTTCCTTGAGAGCATGGCTGATTGGTATAGATATGCAGATAACAGGAAGAAAATTGTTGGGTTTTGTGCTTATGTGATCCGCAGCTCTCTAGCTAAATTGTATGCAGCAAGGTATAGACTGAAATCACGTGCCAAGGTGTACAAGATTGCTTCACGTGATCTTAGCCGTCCATTGAGGGAAAGTAGCAATAATGCTGCCCCGGAGTATTCTGATCTTTTGAGGATGGGACTTGTTGATGCCATTGAAGGTGTTCAGTTTTCTCACATGTCTTTGATTCCATCATGTGATTATACTCCATTTCCGAGAAGCTGGGTCCCCGATCACGAGAGAGTGTTGCGAGAGTATATCCAATTACAAAACCCTAAATTCTTCTGTCAACTGAACAAGTTAGTTAAACAACAAGGTCTTTGTTTTCCTCAAGATGAGATATCTAAGATTGTGTGGGACTACAAAACTCTAGGAATCTTCAACAACCGGTTTAATGGCGATAAAGAGTCAGAAAATGCTTCTCACAAAGTGATGCCAGCACCGTAGCTAAAATATGATATTTGAAAATCATTACATTTCGAATAAGAAATGTCACCTATAGTATGGTGTTGCTGAACAGAGGGAGTGTCATTCATTTCCAAAGAAGTGTTTGGATGAGGATTGCTAAGCTAAAAGGGCAGTATGCAGAATGCAGGTCCCTTGAAGAAGCTAGACATTGCACCTATCAAGGAATGGTATAATCGTGAAGTTGCTGAATTAATTTTGCTGTATCTGATGAAAAACTAGTGACTGCGCCATTAGGGAGTGGCACTAGTGAAGTTGGTAGATTCTGATGATTCAGTGTGAAGAAGATATTTGATCAAAGCAACTGGGATAAATGATGCCATGTTATTTGAACTGAAAACATGCCCCCATCTTAAGTGCAAAGGTAGTGTCGTTACTATTGCTAAATACTGGAAGCCAGATTCTAAACTTTTCTCCTTTCAAAATTCTGCTTAGGCTCCTTTATCTTCTCTGATTTTGAACCTTAAGTTCAACAAAATTCATTCGAATGCATACCTTAACTGGCATTGACTGTGAATCTGTGATTACCACCACGTGAATCTGAATTCTGGTCGAATTATGTAAGACCTGACAGAGGTGAACTTAAAGTTCTCGTCTCTTGATGCCAGAGAGTATTAAAAAAGAAGAAGCAAGGTTATCATGAACAACAAATCGAAGATATAAGAGAGTAGGATAAAAACACGGGATTTCTTACTAATGGGTACAAGCGTTTTCAACTTTTCAGTTCATCTTTATTCTCGTATGCACTATGAGTTTGTAAGTTGAATAATACAACGTCGATTGATGCAAATCATTCCGCAACAAACTAAGGCCCCGTTTGAGCCACCTTTTTGTAGAATGAGAATGAAAAATATAATCGTTATTGCGACCCACACAAGAGATAGAAAATTTGAATTTAAATGTTGATGTGATGGATAACGGTCATATTTTTCATTTTAATGAGATAAAAAGGCAGCCCAAACGGGGGCTAAGACTATTTCCCAATAAATTTGTGTTGGCTATTCATATTGGTTCTTTGGGCATTTCTTCTGCTTATATAATTTTTTGTTTCTCGTCATTTTTCTTTTGGCACACAGTGCTAATATTTGAATCTGATAGGTGATTGTTATTTTGATCAGTATTCTAAATATGCTTTAGTTTCCAGAAATTAACGAGATTGTAATTTTCAATTTGCGCCACTTGAATGTTGTGAATGTTTTATCAGGGTCTCATTTTCAACCATTGTGATAACAAATTTTAGAGAACGGCTAGGAGTGAAATGATGCCATAGTTTTAACTTCTGATGTGGTATTTTCTTATTCAAAATAAGTGGAAATCAAATCCATAAATGGTCAATATCTAAATAAGCATCCAACCTTTTTTTATTTTCACATTCTTATCTTGGGTTGTTCTCGAGTTCTAATTGTATCGCTTGCAACTGCAGTTAATTTGCAAATCATTATTTATGTGCCCTGTTGTTCAAGGATGTCCAGCCTTGCCTTTCAGGTATGTCTATAGTGATTGGCTCCTTCAATATCTTACTTTTTAAATTTTGTCGTACATTTTTATTTATTTATCGTTGTACCTTATTTCTTTTGTATATAGTTTTTTTTGCAAATAATGCCCTTATATTTATTTAGCCCCTGTTTGGTTTGGCTAAAAATCAGATTTTTAGAAGAGTTTGATAAAAGTCTTGAAATGTGGAGTTGAGTCGTGGGTCCATGAAATGTGTGATTAAAAATGAGTTTTAGAGAATGAAGGCCAAACAAGCGCTTAATCTCTATTTTGTTTTTTGTTTTTTTCTCTGGGATGGCAATTGGCAGTGTCACCTGCATAAAGTTTAGGTTTGTGCTCCATTTAGGAACATCAATGTTCCAAGCAAACATGATTTCATCTGATAAAGCTACACTTCATTAGATTTTGTTTTGCAACTAACAGTGAAGAGTTCATAATTCAGTTAAAAAAAAGTACTAGGTTGGACATTTGGTATTAACTGTTGGAGTGCCAGTTTTTGGCTTTTCATTTGTTTTTTCTCCGTTTCTCTCTTACCTATGGTGGTTAGCTTAAGTACATAAATTTCTGAATTTTTCTTAAATTAACAACCATTTACGTCCCGATTAAAGCTAAGGGACTTAATAGCAGTATTTAGTTGACTAATTAAATACAAAAGAAGCTAGATATGAAATAATGGAAGATGCTGCTGCATAATTATGAAACCTAAAATATGTTTTGGTTCACGGGATTTCTTTTTGTAAACTATAGAAGCTAACATCTCGTCTTCGAGCTCAACTGCCAAGACTGATTAACTACAAGCCAGCTGAGGTTTTGATCTTCCTGTGGAAAGGTCTTCAATATCTGCATCAGAGATTGTACCACAATGGTTAGAAAGGTCTCAAAAAATGCCGTAATCTGTAGATCATATCTTACAATTTACCTGATGAACTCAAACTTGTACTCTTTATTCTCCCTCAAGCAAACATTTCTCATGGACTCACTGAAACAGAACTTAATGTCGTTCGTGGCTGCTGATATTTAGGGAATAAATTCCTCCTGCACTTTCCAAGATGTTTCTTTGCATATTATATGTGTGCATATCTATATATCATCCCCTGCTTCTCGACTTTCTGCTTGTTCAGTCGAGGACGTTCTTATTTATGCTTGATGTTCTATTAAGGGTTTGTTTGGCAGATATTTTTCCAAACTTATTTTCAACCACACATTCTACCT